CTAGGGATTTTTAGCGGGGTTTTTTAAGGGTATTTTAAGGATAATTTTAATGATCGGCCTTCTTAAATATTTCCTTTTAATTCGGTTTTTAATAAGATATCATTGTATTTGTATTGTGGTTTTTATGAGGCTGTTAGCCGCCCTGAGTCCCATGAGGAGAAGGGCGGGGTACAAATTAAATTAATAAATAAATAAATAAAGGGCGTAGCAGACGTTACAACATATAGTCACAGAAACCATATGTACATAAAGCAGGTACAGTATATTAAACTTGAGTATGCTGCTGTTGGATTAGAATATTCCCTTTAAAAAGCATTGTTTCCAAAGTGTTAAATGTTGCTGTGTCCTTCGTTTAATTTGGGCTTTTTTTGGTTTGTCCCTGCAAAAGTATAAAAAATTCTCTGTGGAAAGTGAGGGGTTTAGATTATGCTGTTCTGTCTACTCATTTAGTTTCATGAGAGAGAGGTGCATATGAAAAAAAAAATGAAATCTTTAAATTTAAAAAAGACATGTAACATTTAATATACTGTAGGAAACTACTCAGTTAAAGTGAGTATAAAATGAGTATAATAGCTTTCTCAATATTTGTAATGAAACTTTGTCAAATTTATTTAAATTATTTTTAAAAAATCATTTATTAAACCACAGTTCATTTTGCTGTTAAAATTATTACTTTTTTCCACTAAAAATAGTAATAGATTAGGAAATCTGTGACTCAGTAATTGGATTCTTGAACAAGATAGCACAGCAAGCATATTTGAGCACGTCTTTCAGAATGTGTTCCAAACAACCACAAGGCTCTGTGACAACTTGATGGGGTTTTGTAATAAACTAAAAGGGAAAAAGTTCACTCAAATGCTGCCAATTTTCTCTAGTTAGAGCTTTGGCTTTTGATCAGGGATTATGGGATTATTATTATTATTATTATTATTATTATTATTATTATTATTATTATTATTATTATTATTATTATTATTATTATTTTAAAAAGCACCAGCAGATTCCACAGCCCCTAAAAGTTTGAAAAACCTTATGTTAGGGCAGGATCTGGTAATATGCAGATAACTTCCCTTTTTGCAGCCTTGAGAGCTTCTTACTATGATAACTGGAACTGAGTGCCATACCATTTCGAGGGAAAACAACAAAGTTGTACTATAAACTCAAAATAGGCACATCCCTTTAAAAATGCCTCCAGAATTCTCTCCAAAGCAGCTCTGCCCATGTGTGATTAGGCCCACCTACTTTCCAATCCTTAGTTCCCTTGTAACTTACCTGTGCTTTAACGGCTAACATTTGTCTTCATAAACTTGTAAAGGGTGTATATACAACTAGGATCACTATTTTTATGGAAATGTAAGATTGTGATGCACTTTTTTGCCTTTGTACAGCAAAACAGGATTTCCAAAAAATTGTGTAGCTGAAATTGCTCTATAACAAGTGTAAGAAATAATACTTTGAAAGCATGGTCAGCACTTAGGTGGTAATTCAGGCTTTAGTAGAGTAGGTTACCAAGAGAACAGCAGGGAAAGATAACAGAAGTAAAACAGGTAACTTCCAAATTACATAGAGGACAAGGTAAGACTTGAAAACACTGTGAGCTTCATGTTTTTTCAATTCTCATTGCACAGGCAAAATAAGCAGTATTTGCCAATAGCTACAATTAAAACATTACAGATGTTCAACAGAAAAAAATGAAGGATTTGGGGGACATTAAAATCCATACCTACAGAAGAGCATTTAGAGTTTTCCAGATTACCAAAAAAACAATCCAGTTGGTAAAGCATTTTAACTGTTCACTTTTTCTTCTCCTATTTTTTGAAACCTGCATAAGACATATCTCTATCAGTTCAGAGGCTTTTACTTCTGTTAATCATTGCTCATGTCAGGTCTGTTCCTGATGTTTCTACATAAACATCCCAACGGAACTGCTTCAAAAGTTCTTGGGTGCATCTAGCGGTGTGCGGGTGAGCATTATCGTGAACCAACACCACACTGGAAGTGGTGCCATAGAAAATCCCGCCAAATGTGAAGATGCCAAAGGAGTACTGCTAGTGAAGTTCATGGAGCGTGGTTTGACCATCAATTCAGAAGTCTACTGTGAAACATTACGAAAACTCAGACGAGCCATCCATAACAAGTGTCGGGGCATGGTGTTGGTTCACGATAATGCTCGCCCGCACACCACTAGACGCACCCAAGAACTTTTGAAGCAGTTCCGTTGGGATATTTTTGATCACCCCCCTATAGCCCAGATTTGGCGCCGAGCGACTACTACTAAGGAATTTCAAACCTTGTAAGATGTTATGACAAGTGCCTCAATTTGAATGGCAATTATGTTGTAAAGTAATGTAATGTACTTTTCTAATGTGTATAATAAAAGTTCTGTATCTGCAAGTGTCTGTCATTGATAACCAAACGGAGGTTTATTTCCAAATTGCCCTCATATAATGCAAGACCACCTCCTCTTTTTCTTTTAAACGGTTTATATCCTTCCAGCATTACATTCCAGTGATGAGTTTCATCCCACCATGTTTCGGTAATGGCAACTATATCATACCTGCTCTCATGTACTAGTACTTCAAGTTCACCCTGTTTGTTCCTAAACTATGAGTGTTAGTGTATAGGCATCTTGAGTCCTTTATGGTTGACCCTGGGTATGCTTCCTAGATCTCCTGCTTTATATCTGAGT